ACGCGGCCCCTGGGGCAGCCACTCTTTTGGTTTTGTCCCAGACGTGGAGGAGGAGGAGGTCCCCGCCCCTTCGTCTGAGCCTCCCCCCACCTCGGCCTCGGAGGAGGAGGGAGCACGAGAGAGACGCCGTGCTGCGATCGCACGGCGTCTACTGGCAGCGGCGAGCGGTCCGCCTCGGGACTCGCCGTTTCAGTCTCAGGCCCCAGGCCTCGTGTCGCAAGGTGTCTCGTCCATTCTTCGGGAGGAAGATGACGAGGCCCCCCTCTCGTTTCGAAACTGCCGCATCGTGACCAGGGCGACTCTAGTTCTGACTAACGCCTGGGGGATAAGCAGCTAGCCACGGGGAATCCTCCAGCCAGCTGGAGATGTCTATGTGGCCTCCTGCCTTTCCTCTGTCTTCAGGTGTTAGTTCTCTTTTGCTGGCACTGGCCAGCCTGCCTGCCCTCATTGTCTGCGCGGGCACTCATCCTTGATGTTGATTTCAAAAAAATCACCCTCCATATCCCGCCTTCTCGCCTCCCCCCCTCGTCCCTGCTCCCTCCTCCCTCTTTGTCCTTGTCTTCCCCCTGCCTCCCTCTTCCCCCCTCCACCCCGTCTCTCTTATCCCTCTTGTCTTTCAGATCCTCATCCTCATCCTACCTGGCAGTTTCCAGGGATGGAACCTATTGCACGGAGTGTGAGAGTGTGACCCGCTCGTTGCCAATCTATCCACTCGGCATTTCATGATCTTTAGGGCTGGCATCTGGCATTCACGTAACCTGGAAGAGGAATGGTCGATCCAGTTGCGTTTCCACGCGCAGCCGCTATGGGTGGGTGCTCGGGCAGAGGGGTTGGGTGGCGAATGGAAGGTCTCAACCGAAACATCGCAGACTGTATTGCTTCCCCTTCGGCAGCCGGCCTTGTTGGCCCTACTGGCGGTGGTCGACAGCAACTTGTGGCGTTCAGGGTCCATGCTGGGCAACATTTGGATCATCTTTGGACCTTTGGTGGCCGTCTCGAAATCATAATGGGACATCCCACGCGTACGCCAGGCGACGGGCAACGCGCATCGAATGTCATACTACATACTATGGCAGAAACATCTTGGGGAGACTTGTCCAGGGGCCCAGATTCCCGCTGGGCTCCCAAGACTTCAAGAGGACCCAGGAGGCCCCATGAGACCCCAAGACTCCCCCAAGAGGCCCCCAAGAGGCCCTCCAGGAAACCCCCACGAGGACCCAACATTGCCTCCAATGTACCCCCGAGTGGCCTCCAAGATGCCTGCAGGACACCCCCCAAGAGGTCCCCCAAATTGCCTCCAAGATTCCACCAACACGCTTACACTTAAACCAAAGTGTCGCAAACCAATGTGTTGTGTGAATGACCTAACGCTCTCAAATGGCGCTCGAGAAGGCCACGCGAGGCCAACTTATGTGATTATATGTCGCTGTTAGTTCGTTCGTGTCAGGTGCGTGTAAGTATGTACGTGTATATGTGTATGTGTGGATGTACGCATGTATGTATGCATGCATGCATGTATCTATGTATGCATGATTGGGTGTATGTAGTCATAAATGTGTGTAGTTAAGCATGTACGTATGAATGCATTCATGCATGGATGTGTATATATGTATGTATGTATATATGTATGTATGTATGTATGGATGGATGGATGGATGTATGTATGTATGTATGTATGTATGTGTGTGTGCGTGTATGTATGTATGCATGTATGTATGTATGTATGTATGTATGCATACATGCATGCATGCATGTATGTATGTATGTATGTATGTTTATATGCATGTATGCATGTCTGTATGTATGTGTGCATGCATGTATGTATTTGTGTATGGTTGGATATGCGTATGCATATGTCCGTGTACGAGTGCATGCGTGTATGCGTGCATGCATGCATGTGTATATATATATGGATGCAGGTATACATGTGTGCATGTGTATGTCTGTATATACGTGTGTCTGTGTGCATGTATGTATGCATGCACGTATGCATGCATTAATGGATGGATGCATGCATGTTTGCATGTATGCATGCATGTATGGATGTATGCATGTATGCATGTGTGCATGGATGTTTTGATGGACGGATGGATGGCTGTGTGTGTGCAAGTATGTATGCATTCATGTATACGTTAATGGATGAACGAACGTATGCATGACTATATACACATATGTGTATATGTATGTGTTTCTCTCTATGTATAGATACATACATACATATAAGTTGGTTCCACGTGCCCTGGGGAGCATTGATTGTGTACACGGCCGCTTTGGACCAGTCCTGGAGCGCCGAGATGCGGCCAAGGCGGGGGGAAGAGGGGCAACGAGCGGGCCACAAGCGACGTCCAAGACGTCAGGATCGCTCCCAGAGAGCCCCAACACTCTTTAGGCTTCCCAGATAGAGTCCGAGTAGACACACACACACGCACATAAATGCACACACTCCCCAGGATGTCCAACATTTCCCCATAGTTTCTGGGTTGTCGTCTTCCCCCCCCACTTCCCATGTTTTCCCATGATTTCCTAGGAGTCGACGATGACTTGTGTCCGCGTGCTTCTTTCCCTCGTGACCGCCCTCCGCCGCCCACAATAGACGGCGCGCGGCCGCGCGCCGCAGATGGGGTCGGAGGATCGAGCCGCATCGCCGATGCATCGGCGGTGCGGCTCGACGTAGAGCCCGATGTTCTCCACGTCGACGGCGCCGATGCATCGCCCACCCAGTGCATCGACGATGCATCGCCGATGCATCGCCGATGTATCGGCGATGCGGCGCGATCCTCCGACCCCGTCTATTCCGACCCCACCTGAGAGGCCTCTAAAGACCGCCCAAGCGGGTTGCAAGATGGCCCAACATGGCTTCAAGACAGCCCAAGAGGGCCTCAAAACGGCCACGAGGCCTTCGAAAGCAGTCAGACGAGGCCCTCAGGAGGAGAACCATCTAACTAATTTGTCGGTGTGTTCGTCAAGGTTTTCCGTGCTCCAGTTTTTTCATGTTTCCGACGGGCCAAGGCAGCCCACGAGGCCCCAGAAATCGGCCCAGAACGGCTTGAGCGTCTCCCAAAGAGGGCCCCATGTCAGGCCCAGAGAGTCCCAAGACAGCCCAAAGGCGCTCCTAGACGGCCCCAAGAAGGCCGACAGGGTTTCGTATGGCCTGAGGGCCCGAAGAGCCCTCCAAGAGGGCCCCAACAGGGCCCCGAGGCAGCCAAATCGCGACCCAGGACGGCCCAAGAGGGCGTGAAGTAGCTCAAAATGGCCACAAGAGGACACCCAATGGGACCCAGGGTCGCTAAATGCATAGATGTTCGTCCGGTTCTTGTGTTTCAACACATAGGATCCTCAGTGCGGACGATGGTGTGAGCTCAAGACGGCCCAAAGAGATTCCCGAGGCCGAAAAGACGGCTTCAAGGCGGCCCATCTGTCGCTCCAACTACAATTCTGTTGATGCTTCTGCCTCCTCCTCTCTCTCCCCGCACTCGTCCTGCACCTCCTCGAAGAAAAACGTCGCTTCGAGATGCGTCGAGCCGCGGCGGCGACGAGAGCCCTCGAAGACAATCAACTTCGGACCTTGATCCTCACCCCTGGGCAGGCACCTCGCTACCATCTCGCCCCGTTTTTGGATACCCCTTCCCTGGGGCCTCCAAGAGGACTCCAGTCGACCCAAGAGGCCTCCAAGACAGCCCAAGACACCCCCAAGACCGCCTAAGAGGAACCTAAAAGAGCCGAAGACGGCCCAACAGGGAAGAACAAGTGCCCAGGATGGCCTCAGCACGGTTCAAGAGGTCCCCAGGACGACACCCCAGGAGAGCACCCGGCGCGCCCCAAAGAGGCCTTGATGAGGCCAATCACATTGATGTTGGACGTGCACAAGTTGGGCCAAGACGGCTCCAGCACGGCCCCAAAAGAGCCCGAAGACAGTCCAAGAGGCCCCCGAACCGGCCCCAAAACGGCCCAAATAGAATTCCAAGATGACCACGCAAGCCCCCAAGAGGGTTCAGAAACGGCCCCCAAAGACGCCCAAGACCTCACCTCCAGCATTCGTCCGTCCAAGAGGCTCGGAGAATGTGGAAGGAGGGCTGGAGGTGGCTCGACTGTTTCTTAGCAACGAAGGCAAAGTCATTGAACTTGAGGCCCTGCTGGTGCGACCAGGAGGGTTTTTTGCACGTGCTCCGCCAGTTGGCGTGCGCACGCATTCAATATCAAGGCTGCGTTCCCTCCTTCCTTCGTCTTCCCTTGATGTGCATCCTATTTCAAGGCCGTTGTTGTCCGGTCCTCCGTCATTCCTCGCCCCTCCCGCACGTGCTCGGCCAGATAGGCCACGAATATGTGCCTACATCCAGAGACTGGAAAACTACGGCCTCGACATTCATCAGGTAGCCAGTCACTGGAATCAATGTCCAAGGCTGTTCAGCGATTTCCCCGACGAACCCGCAAGCCAAGACTTGCGTGTCGCGACAATGGTCTGGCAACCCTGGACGGCGCCATTGGAGCCGAAAGCACCTGCCCCCCCCAAGACAGCGCCTAAACAGCCCAAAGACAGTCCAAGGACGCCCTGCGACATCTCATGACCGGTCCAAGACGGTCGCGACCCTTCTCCGACAGCGAGTCGCGCGCAAACCCCGACCTTCGTGTCATCACAGCGCCATGGGCTGGGCTAGAACCTCAGCGCGCGCATGGTTCTAGTACAAGTGTTCGCCTCGCGATGAGAAGGGGCTGGGTCGGAGGGAGGAGAAGCGATACCAACACCACCAGGGGTGCCACCTCTAGCGAGGAGGTCCACGACGCCTCCCCGAGCTGGAGGCTGGGGATGTCTGGACCGAGAGGGGGGACCACACCACCAGGGAGATCCCCCTTGCCTCCTCGCATCTCCTCGACCTGGTGGTGTTGGTGTCGCCTTTCCTTGTTCCTATTGGGTGCGTCTCGGGTAATCCCCGAGCGCGAGGACGTCTGGGGAGCAGCCGCGCGTGGGAGGAGCGGCGTCGGCTCCGGCCCCGGCGCGCCAGGGCGGCGGCGCGCGCGCGTACGCCGTGCTGGAGCGGGTGTTCCCGCTGCTGCGCTCGAAGGCGGGGTGGACGGGGGGTGCTTGGTATCGCTAGGGGCCAGGGGTGGGGACCCGGCGCCAGTGCGATCTGCAGTCGAGTTCGACTAGTAGGTCGGCCCTGTCCAGACAAGGGTACCCTCGTGTCCTGCGCTTCGCGACCCATGCCCTCTGCGGTCCGCTGGTAAGTTGTGCTTCAAAGCGGCCGCTGTGTCTGCATCGGGGACCAGGGCGCGTGCCACAGGTTGCCAGTGACTCGATTTTGGGCTGCCTTCCACGACCTGAAAGCGCAGATCGGCAACGAGCGAGCGTTCCAGGGTCTCGTCGCTAACGTGCCGCTGCTGGTGGTGAAGGTCGAGGCCGCCCCAGCTTCAGCAGCGGAGCCTTCGGCTGCGGAGAGCGCGGCGTGGCTTCGCGTGGCCAGGCTTCGGGAACTACCTGTTGCATCTCCAATGTTCTGTCGCGTGGTTCGGCTTCTGCCGAAGATCGCGGCGATCTGTGCCCTGTCTCCCTAATTAGAGTTGTGCGAAGCCCGCCTAGCTTTTAGCGGAAGAGGTTCGCTCTCGCCCCGCCGACCAAAAAAAGTCCTCTAGGGTGTCCTCTCCAATCCACCCCGACTGTAGCGGCCTCGGAGTTTGGTAGAAGCAGCGGAGGGCGAGTTGAGACAGCGGTAGGTGGCCCCCCGGGAGGGCCTTCGTCGCCACGCTTGGACGCAGCTCGGAAAGCTGGTGCGTGCAGACCCTGGGGGGGAATTTGCGGAGCGATATGGAGCTGCTATCGCTTCAGCTCGCCCTGCTCCAACAGAACCCCGCCCTGCGAGGTCGACTAGCGAGTGGCTCTTTTCCGGCGTCTTGGACCGTCGTGTGGGCTCGTGAGGAGGAGAGGGCGAGAGCGATGCAGCCGTGCCAAAGTGTTGCGAACCGTAGCACGTGTCTGACTGCCTCTGTGTCGGGGCCTGGCCTCGAAAGCCTCCAGCAGGGCCCACGAGGCCCTCTCGGCGGCGCGCGCGGGGGGAAGTGAGCAGGGGCGGGCCTTCTCAGAAGGCTCCGAAGTCCCCCAGTCGGGGGGGCGCGAGGGCTTCCGAGAAGTCCCGCCGCCTTCTGCGAGGGCCTTCTCCTCCTCGCTCCCCCCCCTCGCTCGCCGCCGACCCCCTGGCGCGCTCCAGCACGAGCCCCCCTCGGACAATGTGTAGGAGGCCACATGCGAACCCTACCCCTAATTACCCCCCACGATTTCTGAGGGGAAGGGTGGGGTTCACCTCGCTTGGGAGCTCCCGAACGAAGTGAACCCCACCCTCCCCCTCAGAAGTCGTGGGGGGTAGGGGTAGGGTTCGCATGTGGCCCCCTAAATGTTGGCAGCTGCTGGGAGGTTTGGGGTTCCGTGGCAGGGCGGCCGCGCGCCCGACGCCTGCTGCGGGCGCTCGGACGCACGCCGGCGCGCGCGGTGGCGACGCGAAATTGGCGGGCAGAGCCCGGAGCCGCGGGCCAGCAGCAGCCTGCGCGGGGCACGGCCCCACCGAAGGGGGCCCAGGGAAGCACAGAGAAACACACAGGATCCCCAGGACTTCCCATCTTTTCCAATCGTTTCTGGGTTTTCGTCTTCCACTTCCCATCTATGTTCCCATGATCTCCCAGGAGTCGAGGGTTGCTTGTGTCCGTGTGTGTGTGTGTGTGTGTGTTTTCCCTCGTGACCTCCGTCCGCCGCCCAGAGTAGACGACGCGCGGCCGCGCGCTGCCTCGCACAGCCGCGGGCAGTGGCTCTAGCCTCCTCCTCCTCCTCCTCCTCCTCCTCCTCCTCCTCCTCCTCCGCCTCCCTGCTCCACGCTTGCAGCGCGGAGGCATCGCCGATGTCGCCAATGCATCGCCGGTACATCGCCGACGCATCGCGGATGCATCGCCGATGCATCGCTGATGCATTGGCGATGCGGCGCGATCCTCCGACCCCATCTACTCCGACCCCATCTAGGAGGCCTCTATCAGCTCATCCAGTCGCGTTGGCGGGCGTTGGCGCACATCCGCGGGCACTGGCGCTCGTGTCCTCCTCGGGGTCCTGCTGCCAGACCCCTCCCTCGCCCAGAAAGAAGAACGACGGGAGGTGCGTCGCAGTTTTCGGCCCCTGGGGGTCCTCACTGGCCGGGGCCGTCAAGCAACGATTCGGGATGACAAAGTTGTCTGGGGGAAGAAGTCCAGATTTCCAGCAGGGAGGGGGGGCATTCTCTGCGGAAAAAATGACGTTGGAGGTATGGGCTTCGATTCGATTCGATCCCGATTACGGCCCGGTCCGATTCGGTTCCGAAAACCATGACTGTCTGGTGCGGCCTGGCGCTCGCGAGGACGTTGTTGTGCATTCTCGCGCAGCCGATCCAATTCGATTTCGTCTGGGTGCCGACGCAGTCCGACCCGACGTGCACATTAATTCGTCCAGATTTCCCGATTCGAATTGTCTGATCCTGTTTCTTCCTCACGAGCCATCCCAAGCATCTTGCGCCCTCGTGGAGCTCCCTCACCCAAAACCGTATCCTGCATCTTCTCTCCCCTTCCCCATGTTTTGCTTCTCCCCCCTCTGGAGGTCCGCAGAGGTTCCCGAGGAGGTCTTCGGAGGCCTAACGAGTGCCAGAAACGTCTATTTGCTTCCAGGCTCTTCAGGTGGAGGCGCGAAAGTGGGACGACACTCGTGCGGAACATCGAGCATTGAGAGGCTATTCTAGATTGTATTTGAGTTGCGCCAGAAAGGAGGACAGAAGAGGGGGGCGGGAGGAGGCGAGCAGAGTGGGGATTAATTACTGGAGAGGAGATGAGAGGGGGCAGGCAAGCAGGAATACCAAGAGGAGGAGGAGGAGGAGGAGGAGGAGGAGGAGGAGGAGGAGGAGGAGGAGGAGGGCGGCGACGAGGAGGAGGAGGAGGAGGAGGTGTACCAGGAGGGAGGAGGAGTCCCGCCGTGAATCCCTCCCTCCTGCCCTGCCCCCTCGAAGCGTGCCTCGCCGCCGCCGCCAGGGCATGCACGTGGCGGGCCAGCTGAGAAAGATGTGTGTCGCCGCGGATCGCCCTCGCCGTTCTCCCCTCCGCCCTCCGTCCCTGCGAGGAGGTGGAGGACGAGGAGACGGGGGAGCATCGAGGATCCAGCTGTTTTGCACCCAGTGTTGCCTTTTTGATATGTGTGTGTGCGTTTGTGCGTGCATTTGTGCGTGCGTGCGTGCGATCGCGTGCGTGCGTGCGTGATACATACACATACACATACACACATATATGTATATAGATGTATATATATATACATGTGTGTATGCGTTTGCGTGTGCGTGTGCGTTTGGTTTTGTGTGAGCGTGTGCGTGTGCGTGTGCGCGTGTGCGTGTGCGTGTGCGTGTTTGTGTGTGTGGTTGTGTGTATGTGCGTGCGTGCGTGCGTGTGCGTGTGCGTGTGTGCGTGTGTGCGTGTGTGCGTGTGTGCGTGTGTGTGTTGTGTGTGTTGTGTGTGTTGTGTGTGTTGTGTGTACGTGTGTGTGTTTGTGTGTACGTGTGTGTGCGTGCGTGCGTGCGTGCGTGCGTGCGTGCGCGCGCGCGCGTGTGTGTGTGTGTGTATGTGTGTGTGCGTGCGTGCGTGCGTGCGTGCGTGCGTGCGTGTTTCGGCTCTTTGCTTAGCCGCAGGAGGCCTCTGCAGGAGGCCTTCGCAGGAGGCCTCCAAGGAAGACCCCATGAGACATGTGCGCAGGGAAGGTCACGAGCTGATATCCTTCCTCCTCGTTCCCCATGGCCGACGTCCCCAACATCGTTGACACTTGCGTGCGTGCTCGCGGGGGCGTTTTTGGGGCCTCGTAGGGCCTTTTGGGGGCCTCGTGGGGGCCTCTTGGAGGGGTCTTGGGGGCCTCTGGGGATCTCTTGGGCTCTTAGTGGCCTTCTAGCAGTCTCGGAGGCCGCTCGTTCGAGCTCCGCAGAGTCTGTAGTCCTCTGAATGCCAACGGCTTCGAGCACCCGTGAAAAGACTGGCGTAAGAAGACTTAAGTCGGGCCTGTCCCTCTACAGGAGGAAATTCAAAAATAGAAAAAAAAAAAAAGAAAAGCCTGGGGACGATTTCTATTAGTTGTTGACCATGTTTGAGTATTGGCAGGCTATTTTTTATTTGTCGTCCAAAATATGCCTGTAGGGGAACATGCCCGACCCAATACAAGACTCGGATAATGTGGCAACTGTGTACCACGCGCGCTGAGCAGCGACGCCAGGCGCCAAGGCCCGAGAGCCAAGTGCTGAACGGGAACGGCCCCGAGCACGGGCCAGTGGCATGCCACCCGTGTCGATGGCAGCCGGGCGTGGAGAGGAGAACACCATGGTGCAGCATAGGGTATGCCGGGTGCCGCGACTTCCCGCCATATCTTGGTCCGCACAAGGCCCGAATCGTCTGCACAATAGTTCGCAAGCCATCTAAAACTTATTCTGCTTCGAGCGATCCCCACCGAAACCTTCGGCGTTTGGTCCCAACGGTGCACGCCTACTGGAAGGATGCGCGCAGTGCCCAGCGGCGTCGGCCAGCGCGGCGGCCGGGCCAGGTCGCAAGTTGATGTTTGGCCGGAGTCTAACAAACTCAAGGCCCCTGACGAGGACAGAACCAAACCCAAAACACTGTTTGCGGTACCCCAAAACATGTTCTGAGATAGTATCACCTTCCGGTAAGAGGAAGAGAAGGAACAGCAGCAGCACCACGAGGAGGAGACGGACGACGAAGGACGAGGAGGAGGAACAAGAAGTTGAGGCGGACCTCTACTTCCTCCTGTTCCTCATCGTCCTCGTTCCTCCCCTTCCTCCTCCTCCGCTCCCTCAATAGAGTGACGAGGCTGCCTCGTCTTGATTCGACGCCAAGTTCTCCCTCACTTCTCTCCGTCCCCTCCTCAGAGATTCCTCCTTCCTCTGTTCCCTTCCCTCCTCGCTCACCCTCGTCCTCCTGATCCTCCCTGCCGACGTCTCCCGCGTGTGTCTTCCGTTCTCCGTCCTTGCCATCCCATTATTTCCCAGTTGTCAAAGCGTCTCCTCTACTTCGCGGAGAGACGGTGATTATGCGGATGAGGCGTCATCATCACCGCCATCATCATTACACGCCGCCGGTCGTTGAAAGTAGGTAATTTTGGATCCCCAGATCCCAATGCATTTCAAGCGTTATCCTCTTTCAAGAATCGATATGCTTCTGCTGTGCTTTGATATTCCCTGGGAGTGTATGTTCTTACTTACTTGGTCCGACCGACGTGTGCCACAATCAGGAGAGCGATATTGCACCAGAGGCGAGCGAGCGGGATTTTCCACGGCTCGCTCGGCGCTGAGACCGCGCGTCTCGCACGAATTTTCCATGTTGCATCTGAGTACGGCACAGTCCCGCATGCGGTAGCCTTCGCAAAGGGCCGTTGCGTCACAGAGGCCGCTTGCCTCTTCTGGCGACGACAGCTAGTCCTCGGCGTTGCGCTACCCTCGGGCTTGCCCGTTCGGTTGCATCAGTCGCGCCCGGAGGAGAACATATTGAGGAGGTAGTTCGGCCCTGCGTTGCCCCGGGCCACCACGAGGGTGCGAAGTTAGGCGCGCTTCGCGGTCTGAGCGTTCTCTGAGCGAGGCGCACGTCTCAGGAGGAGAAAACACACACACACACAGACACAATAATCGTCGATCCCCATGGAAATCTGGGGGAAATATGGGAAAACATGGGAAGCGGGGGGGAAGACGAAAGTCCAGAACATATGGAAGCATATCGGGAATCCTGGGGTCCGTGTGTATTTATGTATGTGTCCTTGGGCCCCTTGAATCAAGGTAACCGCGCTTCGCTGGGCGCGAAGCGCGAGGATAGCTGTCCAAGTTGAGGAGATAGTTCGGCCGTGCTCTGCAGGTGCATGCTAATCGACGGCAGCCGATGAGATGTCCCGTCCACTCTCACTTCCCCACCATCCCTCCGTCCTCCGTCGTTCCCCTCATCCTCTTCCTCCTCCTTATCCTCATCCTCATCCTTCTCCTCCTCTGCCTTCCCTCACCTCCGTCCGACCCTGCTGCTGCTCCTCGTCGTCCTCCTCGGTGGCGTTGGCTCCTTGACTCCCAATCCCCCCTCCCCTCCTCTTCCGCCTCCTGCTCTTCCTCTGTTCTCCCTCCTCCCGCCTCGCTCGGTTCTCGCTCCTGTCTCATCGACCTCCCCCCCTGTCCTGCTCCCCCCCCTGTCTTGCTCCCCCCTGGCCTGTTCCCTTTGCTCCTCCCTGCCCCCCTCCCCTCCTCCATCGAGGAGCCTCATTTCTCCCCCCCCCCTGGTTGTGCGGCTGCCAGGACGTCGACGGCGACGGCACCTTGCCGCTGGCCACCTTCCAGGTGGGGCGTCGGGGCGAACGAAATGGGGGAGGGAGGGGGGGAACAAGGAGTAGGGAGGGACGATGGTCGAGAGAGGAGGTGGGAAGGGATGGACGAGGACAACGACGGGAAGGAGGAGGGACCGGGAGGGTGGAGGAGGACGGGAAAGGAGCACGAGGGAGGGCAGGAGGCGGAGCAGGAGGAGGAGGGGGAGGAGGAGGAGGAGCACGAGGGAGGAGGAGGAGGAGAAGAAGGAGGAGGAGGAGGAGGAGAAGGAGGAGGAGGAGGAGGAGAAGGAGGAGGAGGCAGGGGCACGGGAGAGGTAAACTCTAGGTGCACTCCCGCCCTCTTTGACATCCAAGGTGCCCCTCTTACCCCTGCCCGCTGCGCCCTTCTTGCATCCAGCCGCAGACACGGGGCCCCATCGTGGCATGCGAACCATCGAAACACGGGAGAGGCGCACACGAGAAGTGGTGGGTGGGCAGGAGGATGAGCAGGAGGACCAGGAGGAGGATGAAGGAGGCGGTGGGTGAGCGGGAGGGTGAGGAGGAGGAACATGAGGAGCAGGAGGAGGAAGAGGAGGAGGAGCAGGAGGAGGAGGAGGAGGAGGAGGAGGAAGAGTAGGAGGAGGAGGAGGAGGAGGAGGAGGAGGAGGAGGAGGAAGAGAAGGGGAGGACTAGGACGACCAGCAGCAGCAGCAGCAGGAACTGCTGGAGTGGAGGGAGTGGAGGGAGCAGGAGGACCAGGGTAATGCGGAGAAGGGGAATCGAGGGGGCTAGGACTATGAAAGGGCACTCGGATCCAGCAAAAATCACGGGTGGGGATCGGCAGGGATGACGGACTTGGTTGAGGAGGGGGCCAGCTGAGGATCGCTGGGCCACACTCGGTCACTACGCCGAGTCTTGACGCTTCGCGCGTCCCTGCCAGCCCATCCAGGAGCGATGGCCATGCGAGCGGCGGTGAGCAGGGATGTTTGGGAGCCGGCACTGGGACAGTACAGTGCCGTTTTTAAGACATGCTCCGCGTGCGGATCATGTATTAAACATGCAGGGGTTTAGTACGAAAAACAACGATGAGTTCATGCAGACATTTATTCGCAAGTTGATCATGTAGAACAAATCTTATATATTTGAAAATGCTATGTATGAAAAACTGCCCTGTAGGGGGTGGGGCGGGCGAGGAGTGGGGTGTGGAGTGGGAGGGGGGGGGGGCAGCCGTCAGACCGAACCTCGGGACGAGCCCGAGCTGGCCCCCCTGCCGATGTCGTGGGAGCCCGCGCCTGGGCCAATCTCGGGGTTAGGGGCCCGTGGGGCCCCTAGCGGGGCTGTCGTGGGGCCCTCTTCTTGGCATCGCTCGGACGTGTGCATTTTTCCTTCGGCGAGGACCATCGAGGAGCATGCTTGATCATTTGGCGAAAAAACCACGCACGAAATCGAAAAAAAACACAGGGAATGGACGTCCGAGCGATGGCCAGTCTGGGGGGCCCTCTTTCGACCGTCCTGTCGACCATGGAATGCTGGAGCACAGCAGACGGGTGGCGCGCATGTTATCGGCCCCCCTCGGGAGCAACTGAACGTCGTGTGTCGGGGCGCTCGTGGCCGTTCTTTGGGGCCGTATCGATTGCGACCTCGTAGGGGCTCTCTTGAGCCACCCTGGAGCCATTTTGGGGCCCCGCGAGCCCATCGGAAGCGCAAAGGCCAGAAGACATGCATCACTGATGCGTCGCATCCGTTTTCGGAAGCATGTGGTTCTCGGGGTGGTCGTTTGGGGCTCCGTGGCCACTTGAGGTCGCCTTGGGACGGTCGAGGCGTTCCTGTTCAATGGTGGACGCTCGGACCCCTCGCGACGCCAAGAGAAAGATGGGGCGAGGGAGCCCGCACGGGAGGACTAAGTCGTCTAACCACACACGCCCAACGGCGAGGCCCCTTGCTTGCCGCCTCGTGTGAGATGTGAGAGCCGGGAGGGAGCAGAGAGCCTACCCTTTCGCCCCCTCCGGTCTCGTGCCCTCCCGTTCGGTCGCCTGCGCATGTCCGATCCTGAAATGCACCGGTTGTATGCTTGACTCGTTTGTGGGTTCTGCGCCGTCTGAGTTCGCCTGGACAAGGGCTCCCACGAGGGCGCGAAGTTATTCGCGCTTCGCGCTTCGCGGTCCTCGTTCCTTCTCCCCCTCCTCCTCGTCCTCCTATTCTCCTTTTGGGAGGGCGGCGCGAGAGCGCGAAGTTATTCGCGCTTCGCGCTTCGCGCAGCGCGAAGCGCGAAGTTGGGAGCCCTAGCTCTCTTGAGTGGGCATTTTGGGGTTGGCACCGCGCGAGTGCTGGCTCAGGGCCACAAGTCCCAAGCCGCCTTTCAATGGCCGTTGGCGCGCTGCGCGACGGACTCCTTCAGGCTGCGCGTTCCTGCGCATGCCCGGCAGACGGCATTTGGCTGCTCGCCTCTGTTGCCGACCCTGTCCCCATATCCATAGCTCCGTTGCGCCCCTCCAGTTTCTCCCTCCTGTCCAGTCGTCCCCACCCTCCTGCTCGTATTCCCTCCCTCCCTCTCCTCCCACTTTCTCCTCCCTCAAATAATTTTCCCCAAGCCCCATATCTCCCTCCCTTCCCCTCCCTCCCTCCCTCCCTCCCTCCCCCTTCTTTCCCATCTTCCTTCGCGTTCCGTGCCTCCCCTTCCCCTTCTCCTCACCCTGGCCAACCTCAGGGCCTGATCAGCGGCGTCGGGCTTCGCATCCACGCGAAGGACGAGGTGGATCAGGCGCCCTCCTCTCGCTGGGCAGTTCCCGGTTCGGCATGCCGACCAGCGTTCCTCTCCCTGCCCCCCCTCCCCCCCCCGAGGGAGAGGGAAAAGGAATGGGGCTCCTCCTCCTCCTCCTCCCTCCCTCCATCCTCCCTCCTCCTCCCTCCTCCCTCCTCCCTCCTCCTCCTCCTCCTCCTTCTCCTCCTCCTCCTCCTCCTCCTCCTCCTCCTCTCCTCCTCGAGAAGGAGGGCTGCAAGGAACAACCGGGGCGTTTTGCCTGTTCGGAGGGGGGCCACGCTGGTTGGGCCCCAGGGGTCGCACCCCTGCCCGTCGTGCACTGGCGGCGCGGTGCGGTTGGGAGCCCGACGCGTCGCCGCGAGGCATCGGCGTCATGCGGTGCAGTCTCGGGGCGGGGCCCCGTGTGGTGTGGTTCCTCGCCGCAGGCCCCTTGGGACTTGCATCGGGGGCGGACAGAACCCCCAACAGTGACACGTCGATTAGTGAAATGTCCGTTTTCGGTTCTCGAGAGGGCGCCGCGGCCGTTATTTTCCAGGCTTGCGCCCGCCAGGTCTGGGTCTCAGGTCGTTTTCACTAAACCACGTTTTGCTAAAGGGGGTTCTGTCCATCCCCGATTACAGGGGGACGAGCAGGACGGCTCTCAGAGTGCTCACGGGATTCTGACGCACGCTGTGTTCTGCAGGGCCCTCTTCCGTCCCGTGTTCCTTGTTCAGTCCCTGCCCATGTCCTCCTCATGCCTCCCTACAGATTGCGCCTGGGCTCGCGAATGTGCGCGTTGAACTGGCATTGGCATCTTGCGCGTGCTAAAATTTATTCGCCGCAGCGCGACGCAGATCCGCGATCGTAGAATTGCCCTCTTGTTGTGCCCATTGCAGCTCGAGTGCGGATGGCATGGAGTGCGTCATTAGTCGCCTCCAGCCAGCCCAGGAATTTCACAGTGGACGAAGCACGCGCATCTCGCACTTCTCACATGGGAGGTTGCGCTATTCGTGGAAGGGGCTGGCTGTTAGAATCTCATGGGGGGGGGGGTAGGAAGACAAATCGTTGTTGGGAAGGACTAGGCGTCAAGTGATGCTTCCCCTTTCTGCTGGGCACGCTGTACAAATAGCAGCACATGACTAACCACTGGTTTATTTGGGGTCGATCGCGTCGTCGACAATGTTGATTTCCGCCGTTTGGGGGGAGATGGCGGGTACCACTCCTTCATGAGTTCCGCAAGTTCCCGTCATTGTCGTCGTTGTTCACGTGCTTACGCATTTTGTTTTCCACCGTCCTCGCAGTCATCTCCCCCTTCCGCCTCCTTCCCCTCTCGTGTCGCTTTGTCCTATTCTTGCTCTTCGTCGTCTTTCTCATCCGTTTCGTCTTCGTCGCTTCTCCTCACCAGTCCTTCGCCCCTCTTCCGTCTTCCCTCTTCCACCCTCGCCCGACTCCTCATCGTCCTTGTAACGCTCCAGGGGGGAGGATTCTGAGCAGGCTTCGTCCTTGTCGCCATGGCTGGATTCGGGAATTTGTCGCCACTGGCCGATGCGCCGTGCGCCCGAGTCCGAGGCAGTTTTTTGAGCGTCGGCACTCGCTCCCGCGGGGATAGTTGCGCATTCCCCGGTGGCCCCGAGGGCCTGGCGGCGGAAACGCAGGGCCGCTGCCCTCTGTGCGGGCCCGAAGTGATCCCCAGAGGACCTCAGGCATGCCCCACATGGGTTGTTTGGGTTGGGGTTACCTGCTTCCCCGAGGGTTCGGAGGGATCCCCGGAGGCCCCAGCACACCCCACGGCTGCTGAAGCCGGCGTTTATATCAGTCGATAAGGGTGCCCCAGGAGGACGCTTTGGCAGGACGGGGCATCGTCTGCGGGCCGAGGGCTCCTGGCTGGCGTCGCCAGCTTCCCCTCCCTCTCCCCCTGGCTGGTCTGGGGCGTCGGGCAGTGGGGGTTCGAGGTCTCGGTACAGTCAAGACGCTGAAATGAGGACCGATTTGAGCTCATGAGGGGCTCGGGTTTCCGGGCCGTCTCTTCGATTTATGTTGTGGAACCTTTTTGTAGCATAGGCCAGCCATGACCAGAAAAAAACCTTCGTTCCTTATTCTGCGTTCCTTCGGGTAGCCCGATGAGTGCAGAGTCGTCTCTGGAGCGCCCCCTGACGTGCCTCACCGAGTGCGCTGCCCAACTGTCCCTGCGGACGGACGGGACCATTCCAGGGGAGAGGCAGCCCAGCAGAGTCTCCTCCTCCATAATATCCATCATCGCTCGACATATGTTCATTGAACTTGGCCCCGTGGGGGGCGCTCGCGGTCCTCGTCGGTGCGCGGCTCGACATCTGACGTCTTGGGAGGTGCTGTGCTTGACCCGCGGCGGGTGCCAGCACGGGCGGACTGGCCCTGTGGAGGGTTCCGCCATCCCTCACGGATTGCGACCTCCAGGAGCGGACGCATTGCCTTGCCCCGCCGCTTTGCATCGGAGCGGTTTGGTTACGAGCGATATGTACACATCTGATCGCCCCCTAAGGACCTACGTCTCATTTCCTCGGTTGTTTCGTTTCGTCTCTTGTCTCCTCGTATCGTATAGTGCCTTCTCCTACTTCATATCATTTTATGCCACAGTATCTTCTATATAATCTAGATCATCTCACTCAGTCTCTGGACCTTTTCTTGTTATCCTCCTATTCCTCCTCATCTCTCTCTCTCTCTCCTCCTCCTCTTCTTCCTCCTTTCGCCTCCTCTGTTTGTTTACATTTCTATGTTTCCCCCTTCTCCATGCGAGGCTGAAGTTGTTTCCTATGCTATATTATGCAGGGCAGGCGTTTCTCTGATATCTCCCTTAGACACGTTCGTCTGCCATTTCGTTTCCGCGGCGGCCGCCCCACGCTGCTGGACGAAAGCGCGGACAACAACATGGGACATACACATGACAACGCACCAGGCCTGCACAGGAAACCATACGGAACAAACGCAGCCTCCGAGGGGGGGGACATGGACAAAAAGACAATTCCCCTCTCCTCCAGATTTCAAATGAACTCTTTGTCGTTGCGGCTCCCTGGATGGATTAGTTCAGTGGCGGTTTACAGAAGGATTCCCTCGGTGGCAGATTACAAAAAGATTCCTTTTGCGGGCCCCCCCGCCCTCCTCCGCTTCCCACTCATCATTATACCTAATTGTTCTTTGTCGCGCCCCGAAGCCAGTTTTAGGGCGGGCCGCGCGTTTCGCCTGAGACTTCCTCATCACTTCGGAGTCTGAAGTTTCACAGTTGGCCAAAGCTTCACAGATGGTGGGCGGGTCGTTTTCAAAAGGTGGCTCTCGCGTGAGCGCGGCGCACATTCGTTTTAAACGTGTGCAAGAGCTTCCCGGGTTGAGGGTGGGGGTTTTCGACATGTGGTTCTCGCCTTAGCGCCGCGCACAATGATATTAAACATTTTCAAGGGTTGCGT